AAACAAGTTGGTGTATTATAATAAAAAAACCCGGAAAAGGCAAAATCGTTTTAATTTCCTTAAGTAAGACATTTTGAAAGTACAATACGCCTACTATGAGTGATATAAAATAAGTTAGTTCAGGACTACCTTAATTAGTAGATTTATTTTAAGTTCTGACGGAGTTCCTGAATTTTTGCACCTACTGGAATGTAAAAAACTACAATTTGTGCTGGGTTTTGACCGTTCAATAACATGTAACCGGCTTCTTAGATGCCTTTTGTTTAATAAGATTTCTATATAATTGATACCTACCGTAATTAAACCGGAGGTCGACTCCTGACATTCTTAGAACGCAACAATATAAACCTAGTCCTATCTAATAGGAAATGTGTGGGTGTATTTTAGTTAAAGTTCCTGGCGTATGAAGGGTAGATGCATTGTAACGTTTTTAGTCCGTATTAGAACGGGAGTTTTGCTACGTCTCTTTGATCAGGGTACGTAACAATGAAGTTCCGGACCTAATAACATTGAGAATATAGTCCCGACATGGTCTTTCAGGTCACTTCAGCCGAAGTCGACTAAGTTTTACGACGTCGAGCACATGATTGGTCTCAATCCTTTTCCCTAGGTGTAATGGGGACAAGACCGACGGAAATGTGACCGAGGGATATCTTTGTGTCACTCTCTTAAATTTTAAGGAAGAAGAGCGGATGTTTTCGGGAATTACCCGTCCGCGGTAGAATGGACTTTCTTGAGTAATATGGGATAACGATGATCCCGTAACGCAAGGGTTCTTACGTCCCACAACCCAACAAGGATTCAGAGATTTTCATGTTACCCTCGGTCTCGGAAAAGAATAGTTCGAGGTGGAAAACCACTTTAGTCGAAGGTCCAAACACAAGCCTGCCGTCTGTGGGTATAGGTAAAAATTCTCACGCGAATTCTGGAAGGAAAAACTATTTCGAATATCAATCCCGACTAATCTAGTCGGGGATCAAAACGACTATATCCCGAATCAAACAGCCCCCTGTGAATGGAAGAAGGAAGAGAGACAGAATATGGACACATGACGAGTACAAAGGCTAATGGGTCGAAGGGGTTTAAAGAAAGAAAAACCACAGATTATACGGCCCTAGCCTCAGTACCCTACTAGGACGCCAGGACACAGGTACCTAACGCCTCAGGACCTAGAACTCAGCACCGACACAAGGACCTAGTATTAAAGGACCTCCTATAATGAG